TTGCAAAAGGTTTGCCAAACTTGATATCTAAATTCCTCACCTTATCAAAATGTTGCTCATCTGTCAGTAGCAAAGGTGCCTTATTTTCTTTTGAATTCCCATTAAAAGCTTTTTTAGGCACTGATAATATTGATCAGGATGTAATCATCTGATATGTTTGCGGTAGGCATTCTTTATTCCATGTTCTAATCTCATTAAATGTGTTCCCTCTTCACAAATAGGACATGTGAGTTTTTCTTTAATATTGTAGCCTGAAAAATTACCATATACTGAAAAATCATTGATTGTATCAAACAACAATTCTCTCAAATTGAACCTTTTTTCTCTGTATTCATCATATACCTCAACACCATTCTCCCACAATAATTTCAAATCCTCAATTAAATGAGCCAAATATATGTTTATGTCATTCTTAATTATTTTGGCCTTAAAATTAGGATGGATAACATCATGTATTTTTTCTTCATATATAACCATAGAGGTGAGTTGTAAATTACCAAAATAACTGGCCATGTACAATGAGTGCTACTTTGAAGCTCATGTGAATTCATTTCATCAACAAAAAATATGAGACAAAGGTTTCTACCTTTTACTCTAAAGTCACAGTATTTGAGATCATTTTTTTTATTGAGGAGAGTTAGCTAGATGTCAAAGTTTTCCATCTTTAATCCGTTCATCTGACACCTTCTGCACTACTATACAGGCATCTAAATCTAGGTACAATGAGAAAGTACCATAATATCTTCTCTAGACTCTTCCCGTTCTCTTTGTAGCATGAGACATTACATTTAGGACACTCCATTAATGATGCATATTCATTTTCAAATAATATGCAATCATTAGGACAAGCATGTATCTTCTCGTAATTCATGCCAATTACATGTAGCATTTATTTTACCTCATACGTAGTCCTTGGAAGCTAGTTGTTCATAGGTAAAAGTTGTTTTATAAGTGTAAGATTTTCTGTAAAACTCTTATCAATCCATCCATTGCTCACTTTCAAATTGTAGAATTTCAATACCGCCAACAACTTTGTGAATTTGTTGCAACCAGCATATAAGGGCTTCTCTACATCACTTTTCAACATCTCTAACATTTTTAAGACAATCCTCAAGTTCCATTTCAATTGCATTTTCCATCTCTTTAAGACAATCAGTCTCATAAGTATTTGTGTCACAATTATTTAATTCAAAGCTTCCTTTATACTTCCAACTACTAGTATACTTGTCATCTTAAGTCTCTCTATGTTTATGCTAACATTTGTAATTTTCATCAATTCCATGGCATACTAAATAGTCTTCAAACTCAAATGCACTAATCTATTTTAAAAGACCACATCTTACACAAAGACACACTATTCTTCTAAGATCTTTTACATGCTCAAGAGAAAACCTTATAAATTATTTCATACCATTCAAATACTTTTTACTTAATCAATTGGCAGACATCTCTTCCTTATCCATAACTTTAATCTAAAAACAATTTCATTCAAGAAAATGTGATTGGTGATTCATGAATATGGAGAGAAAAGGAATGATGCAATGATCAAAAAAGAAATTGACTACACTACATATAATATATAGTAATCAATTAATTATGAGTCACGCGCATGAGCATTCACATATTCCTTCAATCGTCAAAAAAAATTCAGCAACATAATGACATAGAAAAAGTTTTTGTAAGGCTCAAACTCTCTTTTTAAACATGGCATCTCATCTTAACAAATCAATTTCAATCATATACAATATTAACAGCAATGAAATCCTAACAAAATAGCATTTTCAAAGCAATCATGAGTAAATTACAATCACTTAAATCAACTCTAATTATTATGTAATTTGATTCACTAGTACATTTCAATATATATTTTTCAATTATACAATTACCCAAGTCAAATAAGACATGAAATTTAAATTATAAAATTATATCAAAAAATTTTTAAAAAATCATAGAAAAAAGAAAAACATCAAAAACATCATTTTCAACCGTTGTTTTTTGTCTCATTAATTATTTTAAGGTTACATATATCCTAAACTAGCAATCCTAAGCCACTAAAATATCATTCATTAGCAAATGCCAAAATCTCAACAAAATAACTATGATTTTTAGAGAAATTGCATGTCAATTTCAGTCACCCAAATCAACTCCTATTGTAATACAATTTGGCACTCAAGTACATTTCAATATGTAGTTTCTAATGATAAAAACTAATTTGATCAAATGAGGCATATAATTTAAATTAAAAATTATTCAAAAAAATTTATTTAAAATTCACAGAAAAATGCAATCGTCTATGAATATTCATTTTTGGTCACTCATTTTCATTCTAATAATCATCTTAAGGCTACTTATATTATCCATTAGCATTCTCAAGTCAATAAATCATCAAACATTATCAATTTTTAACACCCAACAATTCCAAAATAAGCAACAAATGAGTAGAAACTTAAACAAACAAATGACTAGAAACTTAAACAAGTAAAATAAACCAATAAAACAACCCATAACATTGAATAAATCATTTCCACAACCAAGAAATCAATCTATATTGAAAAGAGAAGGAAGAAAACGCAAAGAAAACACACTTGAACTAAGAAGAAATATTGAAATCCAAAGAGAATGAAAACAAGATGGTGAATGATGGCGTAGGTGACGGCAACTCCATGATGGAGGAACTCATGATGGCCGACGACAACAGTGGAGGAAGTTTGTGAGAGTTTTTTCAATTTTGTTTGCAAGGAGAGAAGACAAGAAGCGAGAAAGACGATTGGGCATGAACAAAAAATGAACCAAATCACTATTTTAAAAATGGAATAAATGATGGGTGTTTGAATGACCATCATTTATTCCCTAATAAATGATGGCTGTTTGAACACCTTTCATTTATTGTGAAGACTTTAAATGACGGGTGTTTGAAATATTAATCATTTAACGTTTAAATTTTTAATTTTTCTATTAATTAGAATCTGAAAGGCTATATAACGGGTGTTTCAAATATCCATCATTTAAAATCTTCACAATAAATGATAGGTGTAGGAAACACCCATCATTTATAGTTTAATTAAAAACAAGGATTTGAAACTTCATATGACGAGTGTTTAAAACATCCATCATTTATTTCGTAACCATCACTTGCCTCTCTTGTATATGACATGTTCTTTTTAGCCATCATTTCTTTTTTGCATCTTATATCCATATTTTTGTAGTAGTAAACATAACAAACTGCTAAATTATAAAATACAAAAGAAACTCAAAATTAGATGATATTAAAGGCCACTTTTATTTTTGGACCTTTCAATTCTACATGATTTCGAACCACCTATAGCACTACTACAAAATAAGTTTACAGGAGCGCTTTTTTTTTACTTTAGGGAGCGCTTTTGAAGCGCTCTCGTATCGAGCGCTCCGAAATGTATAGGAGCGCTTAAAAAAAGCGCTCCTGTATATACGCTATACGGGAGCGCTTTTCGAAAAGCGCTCCTGTAAAGGAGCTACATACGAGAGCGCTCCCGTATGCAACCATACCGGAGCGCTTTTATAAAGAGCGCTCCCGTATGAACCATATAGGAGCGCTCTCTGAAAGAGCGCTCCTGTATGTTACTTTACAGGAGCGCTTTTCAAATGAGCGCTCCCGTATATTACTTTAATTTTTTTTAAATCAGATTTTTTGAAATTTCTCCTTTTACGTCTCTTTAATAATGACAAATCATAATATCAAAAACTAATTTAAAAATAATATTAACATAAAAATTTATATACAAGAAAAGAATTTGAAACTGATACAAAAATTTTAATTTCCTAACTAACCTAGTTTAATTTCTAACAAGCCTAACAAATGAAACTATTGTTATTTTTCTAACATTGAAATCTAACTTCCTATCACAAACAGCCAATAATATATTCTGACAACTCTTCAACTAAATCTTCTATTTGCTCCATAGTAAAATACAAACATCTTACTCCAACAAATACTACACAAGATATGAAAGCAATATATAAGGAATTAACATTATATCAACTTAATTTTAAAGTTTTTGACTTACATTTTCAGGAATGATCAACTCTTGTTGTGTGATTACTTCTCTCATAAACTTCATAACATAGTATCCACACTCCCAACCTTGTAATTGTGTAGGTACCTATAAAACAATAAAAGATGTCATTATCAAAATATGGTGGAAATAAATTCTAACTTAATTTAAAATACTTCAGCGATGAAGTTATATATATGAATCATTTCATCAAGACGGTCAACATCATATGTCCCACTATCACGATCAAATGTTGAGTAGCTCGCACTATCCCTCCAATCATTTGCATCATTCCTTGTCTCCCTATGCATGGTCCAACAAGTATAAGTTGGATCAATCCCATTACAGATTAAATGATCTTTCAATTCTATTGGCTTTACTCTTTTTCCATAGCAACATTTCAAACAAGGACATATGACTCTAAGGGGGTCTTGATCACAACAAAATGCAAATTCAATGAATTCATCCACACCATCCCAATATTCTCTAGATAGTTGATTAGCCGACATCCACTTATGATCCATATCACTAATATGATTATCAAAATTCAATAAACAAAAGACTTAGATTTCTATAAAAAAAATTCAACATCTTCCTTAAAAGAAGAACCTCCCAAATGATCAAACAATCAAATTCCACAACACAATACATTTAAACTCAAAAAATTAATTCATCCAAATAAAAATTTAGTAGCATAATGCATCTAAATTCTGTCAATCAATTGTAATTTAATTAATAACAATAATCTCCCTTAAAAGTATATTTCATAAATAAAATAAAAATGTTCAAGTAGTTTCCTCAACTTTAATCTAATTATCAACTACAAATACTCCATAATTCTAATATAAATAACTCCAATTCATATATTATCTATAATATTGATTATTAAAAAATATATATGAAATTTATTCTCAAATATATATAAATATATCAATATATTACATTATAAATTAATTATTAAAAAAATACCTTCACAGTGTAGTCTTCACGGCAGAAAACGAAAGTCTTCACGGCAGTAGCGGAGGTCTTTATAGCGTTGCTTCCTCGGCTGTACAGCAATGACACACGGCTACAACGGAGGTCTTCACGGTGTCGCTTCCTCCGATGTACAGCAGCCGCACAAATCTGAAACAGCAATGTAGATCTAGAATAGTGATGCAGGAGATGGCGGCGACGGCGACGGCAGCGCAAAAACAGAGACAGATGGCGCGACATGACACAGAAATGAACAAACAGCGATGAACACTAATCTGGAACAATGAACAACAGCAGACGATGATTTGGAACAGCAAACAGTGGCGAACGACGATCTGGAACAGCGAACAGCGGCGGACAACGATCTGGAACAGTGAACAGCGACGGAAGATAGACTGATACAGCGATGATCTGGAACTCGTTGGGAACGCACAACCTCAGCAAATGAGAGAGAGGTTTGAAAGAAACTCATAAATAGGGAAAAGAAAACTGACGGGAGGCAGAGATATAAAAGACCACCTCTTCCGGAGCGCTCATTAGTGAGCGCTCCAGAAGAGGTGGTCTTCCGGAGCGCTCTTCAAAGAGCACTCCGGAAGATCTCTCTTTCGGAGCGCTCTTTGACGAGCGCTCCGGAAGAACAACTCTTTCGGAGCGCTCTTGAAATGAGCGCTCCGAAAGATGAGCTCTTTCGGAGCGCTCATTTCAAGAGCGCTCCGAAAGAGTTGATCTTCCGGAGCGCTCTTCAAAGAGCACTCCGGAAGATAGTCTTCCGGAGCTCTTAACTACGAGCGCTCCCGAAGGTCTTTTTAAATTTTTTATAATATTCTATTTATATTAATTAGAAGCATTATCTTATTGAAAAGCCCTGACATACAGGAGCGCTTTTCTAAAAAAGCGCTCTGGTAAATTCCGCATTTACATTTTAGAGCGCTTTTTAAAGAAGCGCTCCTAAATACCCGCTCCTAAAGATATATTCTGTAGTAGTGTAGCTCACATGTTATGAAATTATAATGAGAAAATATAACTTTTAGTTCCTATATTTTTAGCATGTTTTGAAATTAATTAGTCCTTATACTCTTCTTTCATTGTTTCAAGCCTTTTAAGTTTCATTTATTTACAATGTTAGTCTCTATATTTTCAAATATGACCATAAGGACTTAATAGTAATTAACATGTGCATAAAAATTTATTATTTCTTGTACTGACTTGTTATAATTAAAATTATGGTAAGTTATATAAAAATGAGTAGAAGGCCAAAAAAAAAAAACAGAACATTAAATTAGAATAGTTAAATGTGTAATGGATGAAGTTTCAGAAGGAAAAAAGCACACAACTAGAGTAGATAGGTAGAGAGATTAATAGCCATTTTGCTCATACAATATTCAACTCATCATAATTTTATTAATTGATCAACAAATTAAAAAGAGTTATGTACACAGTAGTAGATTTAACACTGCCAATTATAATAAGGACTTTTGCATATACATGAATCTTAACAAACTTAGGACAATGAAATAAAAATATAGGGACTAATGCTAAAATATGTTGAAACTATGAGAACCCATAGTTGTATTTTTCCCATTATAATTTATAATATTATTGGTTTATAGTCATGTTTTGTTATTTTACTAACAACTAAACATACTATGTATGTATTTCTTATACACACATCCACATGTATTGATATATTTTTATTTAATTTTATTTAATTATTATGTCATAAGTACGATAAGTGGTTTAACCGATTAGATCATAAAAACTAAGACTTGACCTTTTGATTGTAATGTCTGGTCAGGTGTTTAGTAAGTATAAGACAATTTACAAACCTTTAGAAGTAATTAATAGTTTTTATATAATGCTCCCAATAATCAATGAATAAAAAGACTTAGCTCACCTTAAAGTAAAGTTAAAAAATAATGATGAGTATTAATCGAGGGTAGAAATGAAAAGATGGTAAATATTTTAAAATTTAAATTATTTAAAACCATTTTATTGATATATAAAAGCTAAGATTATTTTTTCTTATAAAAAGAAATGGAGGAGTAGCATATTCATTTTTTTTAATGAATTGTCTCATGTGATTGCCAAAACAATTGATAAGTGGGTATAATTAGAACTAGCCATGACCAATGGTGAAGCCAAGGGTCAGCACCAACGGTGTAGGATAATTTAATAAAAAATTAATATTTTTTAAAACTAATAATTATTATTATATTAAGACTAAAATTGTAATAACATAAATAAATTCATCATAATTTTTTTAAAAAAATTATATTGAATATGTTAATATAGTCTTTTATTTTAAAACATGCTACTCATATCTTATCTAGATCATTTATATATATATATATATTATATCTAATAAGCTTTTAAACCCAAATATTTTATGTTTAGGAGTCCATAAGGTGCAAAATATTAGGAATATGAGGTACAAAGTTATAAAATTTATATATCCTACTTGTAATTTATTCCTATGTGAGGGGTGCATTTGCACCCCTCTCATCATAATATAATATGGTTTAGCCACTGTCTATGACACTTCAAAAGACACTTTTAACCAAATCAATTAAGTAAAAAAAATTGTTAAAATTAGTTTTTCTTTAAATTTTGTAATAAATGACACCTTTTATTCTAAATTATGAGATACTTTTAGATAAAATTACACATGCTAATGCTAACTCATTAACTACACGAGAAGGAAAAACCAGGTACAGAAATAGAAAATGCTCAGAATGCAAAGGTGAGGAGAAAGCTCCCTCTGTTGATATTTATAGTACAGCCGGTTACAAGTAAACCAATACAATACAGATACATACACAAAGAATATACAAATATCTAAATAGTATTGAGGCATATTCGTGCCTATCCATAGCTTAATAATTACATAATTAACCACTAATCTTATTTCCTGACAACACTTTACAACTTTACCTTTTTAAAATAAAAATAAAAACTTTCAAAAATGCACTTCACTTGATACGAATATTAATGAGAGAAAATATACAAGAATGGTAATCTTGAAAAAACTTCATTAATGAAAAATTTTATTTTTGTTAAAGTGTTTTACATTTTAGATTGTCGCATCTTTTCAAAAATTGTCTTATAATTTAGAATAGAGGTAGTATAATATTTCAAATTTAATGACGTCCATAAATATGAGAAAGATGTTAACCATTTAATATGGGAAAATGTAGAAAAATGATTGTAATTAGGTACAAATATAATGGGTAAAGCTAACATTTCTAGTGCGCGTGAAGTTGTTACTATGGTGTCATATATTTGATATGAAGGACTATGAGTTTTTCAACACTATACAAATCGGTATGAAATATGTTTTGTGTACTCTAGCTAGGTCAAGGCTCAAAAGTGATCGGAGATATATATATATATATATATAAACATTAAGAGTACTAGACCCCTAATCTCAAGCATATGGCATTGATAATTAGCTCAAAATTAATTTCTTCATCCTCTAACTAAATTGGAATCCAAAGACAATGCATATATGTTATCATCCAAAGACAACAACTTTTAAAATGTAAAGTAAGTCCCTTATATCCTTAACTGATATTATTTTCATATAATGTAATCTATTCTCAATTTTAAAATAAAAAAATGAGTTGCAAATTCAACCATATATGATTATAAATTTGGGAGACAAAGTTAAAAATTCTTAGAATTGTTCAAATAATGACATGTTACTTTTCCAATTTAATCATTAAAATTGTATTCCTTATTAAAATTAGGAAAGCAAGTTTCAAATTCAAAATAACAAAAATTACAAATTGTGGGAGACAAAGTTATAAATTTTTGAAAGTGTTTAAATAATGACATGATTTTTTTCAAAATTAATTTAATCATTAAAATTTGTGTTTTCTATTAAAATTATAAAAACGTGTTACAAATTTATCAAAACAAAATTGTAAATTTAGAAGACAAAAGTTTTGTATAACAAAAGCACTTTTGTATATAAATATAAGAACTTAAATAGTAAATGCGAATAAAAAATTAGTATGTTTTAATTGAAACATGTTCAGAACTCTTCTAGGGATGTCGTCATGTGTGTGTGGGCATTGCACATTACATATTTTTCTTTTTTAGCCCGACATTTTATAAGATCTAAAAATTACAACAACATTAACAACGAAATAACACATCATTGAAGCAATCCTCTCTCTCTCTCTCTCTCTCTCTCTCTCTCTCTCTCTCTCTCTCTCAGAGCCCCCATTGATCATCACATGTATAATATATATATATATATATTATTATAAGACATCCATTAATGTCAAATATTACAAGACGATTTCAAAAACAGCCCCTTGTTTAGTAATTTTCTCAAATATGAAAGGTGTTTCCTTGCGCGTTTTTTATGATGACAAAGTATAAGTAACTTACAGGCAGAAAAGTTTCACATGCATGGATGGTCGCGATAACGCATACATAGATAGATAGATCAATCTTCTTAAGAGGATGAGGCTGGCTTTTGACCTCTTCTTTCTCGTGAAATTTGACCGTTATAAACCTCTGATGGATTTGATTCTGTTATGTTTGAAATATCCCAAATTCATCAAGTGGCTCATCTTGAATTAAAAATTGGAGAAACTAATCTATGGGTTCTTATCGTTTTTTTTTTTTCATTTTTGATTTAGATCCCTGTAATTTATTTTATTTATTTTAATCAAGCCCTTAGAGTTTGTTGGTTAAAAATGTTAATCCTTGAAGATTAAAATTTAAGAAAATTATATTACTTTAGAATTAATTACAAAATTTATATAATTAAATTATGTCTTTAAATATCTTTTTATATATAAATTTTTATAGTAAATTTAACAAAAAAATTCCTTTCAAACAAAAGAATTGAATTAATTTTATTATAAATTTCAAAAGGGGTTTGGTTGTTAAAAAATTGATCTTTTTTTAATAATTTTAAGCTTCAAGATTAACATGTTTATTTATTCAAAATATAAAGACATGATTAAAGCAAAAAAAAAATACAAGGACTGAATTCAAAATAAAAAAAAATAGAAAGACTTGCAGATTAATTTTCCCTTAAAAATTCTCCAAAAGTTCATTTTTCAGTAGTTGAGTGGGTATATCACCAATTTTTATTATTTATTTTCTTGTTAATAAAGAGAGGCAAGCTGAAATAACTTAAAAACAAGTAACCCAACACCTCCCACAAGATAAAAGATCAAGTCATAGGACTATATTTACTTGATCAAAATATTTCAAGGATCTAGGTCCGATCCTTTAGCAACATGACAAAGCTGAAAAAACATTATTAATAAAATCTTATTTTTGTCAAAGTATTTTTTATTTTTGATTGCCGAATCTTTCCCAAAAATATTTTATGATCTAGGACAGGGATAGTATAATATTTCAAATTTGACGACATCCATAAATATGAGAAAGATATAAACCATTTAATATGGGCAAATGTGGAAAAATGATTGTACGTAATTAGGCACAAATTTAATGGATAAAACTAATGTTTCCAATGCGCTTGAAGTTGTTACTATGGTGTCATAAATTTGATATGAAGGCGTATGAGTTTTTCAACACTATACAAATCGGTATGAAATATGTTTTGTGTACTCTAGCTAGGTCAAAGCTCAAAATTGATCGGATATATATATATATATATAAACATTAAAACTACAAGACCCACAATCTTAAGCATATGGTATTGATAATTAGCTCAAAATTAATTTGATTCACCCTCTAACGAAATTGGAATCCAAAGACAATGCATATATGTTATCATCCAAAGACAACAAATTTTAAAATGTAAAGTTAGTCCATTAATTGATGTGATTTTTATGTAATGTAATATATTCCATATTTTAAAATTGAGAAAACAAGTTGCAAATTCAACTAAGAAGACAAAGTTATAAATCCTTGGAATTATTTAAATA